TGATGTGCTAGTAAATAACTTTCTTTTCTTCAGTTAGCACTGATTTTATGAACATAAAGTAGTATTTGCATGATTTCAAGCACAAAAAATGCAACTCTTTCCCCACTTTTCTGAATGTGCTCATTAGGCCACCCGAGGAGGGTGGGACAGGCACCCAGGTCATGGCTGGTTTGCAGTGTGACCTCTCTGGATGGCAGCTTGCACACTGGAATTTGTACACAAGTGTCTGACTGACAGCACTGCCTGCAGCAGCAGTGCTGGAATGGGTAACGTGGTTTTCAGTGCAGCTTTTGCAAGCTCAGCCATGGCCTCCAACATGTACCTGGCTGAAGCTGTTGGATACCCTGGATTTATAAGAATGTAGAACAGTTGCATTTTTGTGCTTAAAATTATGGAACTACTGCTGGCTTTCAGTACAGCTGATTGTGTTTGAAGCAACTGAGGGCTTGAGTATCCAGAAGAAAGCAAGTTAAAGGACAGATGATAACTGAGCACCAGGAGTCAAGGCTAATTAGGAGCACAGATGGCTTTTATGCATGTTTAGCCTGTCTGAGACACTTGGAGACAGCACTGCCAGTGACTGCTAAAAGGCAGAGCGAATTCTCACTGCTAAGCATTATGGCCAACAGCTAAAGCCTTGAGTTTGAAAATGAGCTTTAGGTTTGAAAATTGAGTTAATAACAGTTCAGGTTAACACTAACAGGTGTGAGAGGGCAGAGCAGAACATATTGAGCTACTGTTGTGTTTCAGGAGGTGTTAAGGAGAGGAAATGCTGGTGCCATCAGAGCAGGGCAGTATCAGGCCCGTGGAGGTGAGACTTGCTAGCTACAAAGGTGCCTTTTAGAATTTACTAGAAACTCAGACCTGGAGTGACCGACCATCAGACCATAGCAGCCCACTCTGAAAAAATATTTAACATATTGCAGAATACATAATCTTGTGCTTTCTTTCAAAACAGAAACTAAGCCTGCCCTACCTACCCATTGATGTTCCTACTCACTATTCAGTTTGAGATGCATTGGCTTTGGTTGGAAAGCTAATTGGCTTTGACTTTTCTCTTGGTGATAGCTTATTTTCCTTAATTTTGGTTGTCATTTTGTCAGCTGGCAGACTATTTCATGTACTCTTGGCCTATTTGACAGGTTGTTTTCCCAAGTAGTGCTTCAACTGTTTCTGAAATCTGTTAATAGTTTGTTTGTAGCCCTGAAGTCTGAGCTCTCTAATATGACTCAAGAATTTCAGCCTCTCCACTTGGGTTCAAGTAACTGCACTTGGGTTTGGGGAAAGCTTCTCCAGCTCTGCTTGTATGTGCTCTGAGAGTGATCAATGGCATCCTTGCACTGTATCTGCTTTAAAATGGGAATTTTTTCTGGCATGTATGTCCACTTTCCATGCCCTTTGGCAAAAACCTTTCAAAGAGCTGTGGAATAGCTAAGATCAACACTAATCAGCTTGTTTAGACAGGGCCAGGTGGTGTAAAATGTCCCTGGCTGATCAATGTTCTCTTTCCTTTATGTCTACCAGAAGAACATTAAAATCTCTTGCCTATTTCCATGTCAAGTCTGGAAGAGTTTCTAATTAGAGAAGTTAATCTTTGTTTTGTCATGTTTTAGCTGACAAGAATTTCCTTAGATTCCCTGAGACTGGGAACTCTTTGGCAACAGAAGATGTAGCCTACTTGAAATGTGGGCCATGCAGCTGTCACTGTTGTTGTGCAAGGTGCTTTACACCCATCCCAATTGGAGTCCTTGTAGGATGTGCAGTGAGTCCTCATTTAACATAAGAATTCTCTCTGAATGTGATTCATGATCCCAGGGAAGATGATATGGGGGTTTATTTGAGAATGGCTTCAATGAAACAGTGGACAAAACTCTCATAACTTAGGTGGAACAGGGGTGGCTGACATGAGAAACTTTTTTTTTTCCTTTCTCTCAGTGATTGCTCATTATCAGGGAGGTTCCCAGTCTGCAAGTGTAATTGAGTCTTTGTGTTTCATCAAGTGCCTGCCTCATGCTAATTCAGTTATGCCTTAGGCTGCAGCTGTAGTTTTGTTTGTAAGCTGAACATTTCATGCCCGCCCTCCCTGTGAGGTTTCCTGGTGCTCACACAAGTTCTCCTGAGTTCCAAGGAAAACTCCACCAGAAACTGGCAGTGCTTTAATTGATGTTTCAAAACAAAACAAAAAAAAAAAACCAAACAAAAACTCCCAATCCAAGAAGAAAACCCTACCAAAATAGAAAGCAAAGACAAAAAAAACCCAACAAAACCAAAACCCCAACAGACACAAAACCAACCAAGTCAACTTAGATTTTCCAACTTTTCTTACATCACTGTTCCCAATTTTAGTAACTTCATACTAACAAAATAGCAACTCTATATAGTAGTATATACATACTGTTTGTTGCCATGTACTTCATTTTGTGAGATATAAGTTATGCAGGCCATTTACATCTGATATTTCTGAACCATCTGTCTAGCAAGGTATGACTGCAAAATATTTTTAGTTTATGGTTGAGGGTTTTTAGCTGTATCTTCAGAAAATAAGCACAAGTCAAAGGTCTGTAGAGAAAGTATGATTTATTAAATTCCAGATGGTTAGATCTACTGTAAAAATTTTACTGTACAAAAGCATTATCTTGTCTTTATGTGGTACCCAATTTTGAAAAGGGAAACATGTCTTTTAGCTACTGCTTTGTCTAGAAGAAGGGAGAAGAAAAAGATGAAAATAAAAATTTTTTTGCTTTTGAGACCATGCATATGTAATGCCTGAGGAAAAAGCCTTCCATTTTGACTATTCCACCCATTTCATTCAGTGCACATTCATTTATCAGTCCACAATCTGACCTGCAGGATTGTCAGTCAGTGATGAGGCAGAATAAAGAACAGGTAATCCTTTCCTGTTAGTAGAGGAAAGGAGTCAGTCGCTTTTATCTCCCCCTGTAGTCCAACATCTCAAAGGAAGTTTTGGGTCAGCAATTTGCTGGCTGCAGCAGCTTTATCATTTAAGAGGCACAAGTTGCTGGGAAGGCTCATTTAGTGGCAAGTTAAATGTTACAATCTCCTGTAAACTGTGTATGTAATACTGCATTTTATGGTCTAGCTGTGCAGTGCAGAGCTATTCTGCATGTAACACATGTTAAACATTAACTACTGCTTGGGTACAGAAGGTGGAGTGTTCTCTCTCTGGTTTCTATTGGGTGTGTGGCAGTGGAAGATAAACATATACTGGTAGTTAATGCCATAAAGCAAGCAACCATGAGCAGAGTAGGGCATCAAGTGCATTTTTCCTACTTTTGAATTTTTCATGTTCTGCTCTTTCTCTTTATTGCTTTTGAGGGCTTTCTCCTCCCTCACTTAAGCAAGGTCTGTTTAAATTTTGTTGAGCTTTGGTTTGGCTTCTTTTAACAAGCGCTGATTTTACTCCATATGAGAAAATATGTTCTGAATACTTTTTCAGTTTATAACAATTACATTACAAGTAAAGATGATGATTTCTTAGCAATGTACTGTTTTAAGAGGCCATTGTAGTCTCAGCTGCCTTTAATAGAATGTTGAACTTTGGTTACTAATGTCTATTATCTGCCTCTTGCCCCCCACAAAATAATGAAACAGTATCTTACAATGACAGTTTAATGTTGGTGTTAAGCTTTTATGGAGCTTTAATTTTGCTCTTGAAATTTGATACAATTCAATTTCTGTGCTTCTGTTTTGTTAGTTAAAAAACCCTAAAAAGTACAGTTTAAATAAAATTTGCTTCCTGTACCTGAGCTTGCTTGACTTTCTTGGAAAAACGGAGCTGTAACTCGTGATCTTGCCTGTTGCTGAAGAAAACTGATTTTAGACAGCCTAGAACCCTGAATGTTATGATTGATGGTGCCTTTGTGCAGAAGACCAAACTAAAGGAACTGAATGCTTAACTGTGAATTTTGCTACATTTTGGGGTAAAGTGGAAATATGTTAGTTCTAAAAAATAAAAAAAAAAAATCCTTGAAGTTGTAAGAGGGACAGCAGTCACAAAAGTGGATCCTGGTCAGTACTTCCCTATATAAAGTACAGCTGTAGTCAGTCTCTTAATCAGATTTATGATTGTCTCATATATTTTTGGCCAAGGGGTGATTTTGCTCAAGAATTTGAAAACTTTCTTTGCCAAGTAACTCAACAAGATTTGCATGAAGAATTGGTTTGTTATTGCCTTTTCCTTCAGCCCACCTGTAATGTTCAAGCTTTGGTTTTCTAGTGTTGAAGACTGAGTATGTAAATTCTTGCCTTAACTTCAAAACAAGTACCCAGGCCAATGCAGCCTGCCTTTAAGATCTGCTAAGTTTTCTACCCTTACCTCTAGGCTATAGCTGGGGTTTTTTTTGTTGACTTTTATTTACATGCCTGCCTGTTTCAGATGGCAAGCTAAGTAAGATTTGCATCTTTTTTGGCCCTTGTTTCTTCATTTAAAGGCTGTAAATATTATGGCAGTTGGCAACATAAATGAAATATTATCAAATCCTATAAATTTTCTTCACAATGCTCTTCAAGTGTTCAGGCTGTCCAGAATTTATTTTGCAGCTTCAGTGGTGATGTGGCTCTGCATGGCTGCAGTTGCTGTTGATAGCCAGCAGATTTCAGGCAGTGTATGTTAATCAAGCTTTTCCTGGAGAATCTGACTTCCTGGGGTACAAAATGATGGCTCTGACTTAGGACACTTGTAGGGCATAACCCTTCCCTTTCTCTTGTACGTTTTTAATTATTATGAACTTTAAAAACTTGCTTTGAGAGTGAAATCTGATGCTGTTGGAAAAGCTGCAGACAAGAAGAGCATGTCACACTCTGCTTCTTGAGGAAAATAAAAGAAATGTCAATGCAATTATTCAGAATAAATAGAATTGCTTTTTTGATATTATTTTCCTTTGTGTATCTCTTCTCACATGTTTGAACATGAAAAGAAACACACCCAAACAAACCCACACTGGCCAATTTTAAAAAAAGCATTTTCTTTTCTGTTACAGAAAAATGCAAAGGGACAGGAGTTGTTTGACCAGATTGTGTATCATTTGGACCTTGTAGAAACGGATTACTTTGGCCTGCAATTCATGGATGCTTCCCAAATTACAGTGAGTATAACTTAAGTTGATTTTTATGTTTTGTGCCTGTTACTTTATTGCTGGTGCAGTTCCATGGAGAGATGTCAGCACTGGGGGCTGAAACAAGTGATGCCATGTTTGGTTCTTGCACATAAAGCTACATCCTCTGAACGAGTCCTGAGTCATCTTATGTGACACGTGTGTGACTTGATTGCACTCAAGTTAAAACAACAATGAATTTTGGTAAAGAAAAATGTACTTTATGGTTACTAGACTCATGGTATTCAAATTGTTTTGCAAGCAAGGATTTCTTGTAAATTTTCTCTGTTGTTCTGTGCACACATTGTATTGCTTTGAGGGTTTAGGTTCATTTGCGAGAACAAAACGTTTTAGCTAAAAGTTCTTCTCCTCTTCCTTATATAAGGTCTTCCAGTATCTGCAGGTGAAAGAAATAAATCTAAAAAAATTATTTATCAATATGAGTAGATATATTAATAGGATAGGTTAAAAGACTACAGCATTGTGATTACACTGTATTGACATATATTTTATCTTTTCCTTTGTCTGCTCACTCTGTGTGAGCAAGAAGTTTGACAAAAACCTGCACTGTGGATAGAAAATATGCATATTTGGAAAATGAATGTTTCTTTTAGTGCTCTCTGGTCAGTTCATAAATATTTTTTCCATGAAGCAGCAGAAGATGTTTTCTCTGGGATAATAAAATAATGGGAAAATGTGGCTGCAATAGTGACATCCTGGGAAGTGTAGGTTCTAAGTTTATCATCCCAGAATTCTCAGCTTTATTCTCTAACGAGCTTGGGTCAAAGGATGGATCAGGGTTCAAGCAGCTGCATTATCATCTGTGTTTCACCAGTCACTGTAAACAACAAACAGGAAACCTATCCAGGTACTGTACTAATGACTTGACACTGGAAGAAGAGAATCTGTGGGTTTGGGGAGAAGCAGTATTAATCTATTTAAACTTTATCCTGATGTCTAAATTAATTTAGGTTAATATCACTGAAAACTGATGTTTTGAATGAAGTATGTTCATAATGGTTTTGGTATTTTTAGTTGATTATGTGTGTGTGCTCCTGATAAAATTTCTAAATACATAAATTGTGTATACTTTTATGAAGAATCTGGTTATAAGGACACAGCTGATAGAGCAGATCCTGCTTATAATGGGAAAAACACATTATATTGTCACTGATTGTCAAATCATCCAACTGGGAATTTGATAGCTAGGAGTAGTTACCTAGCAAGGAGCTCCATGTTTTGAAAGAAGGGAAGCAGAAAGGAAAGAATAAGGGCAAGAATGAGGGCAGATCAGCCAAAAGCTGGACTGAGGAAGCTGGGAAGGATAATTTTCTTGTATGTTTGCAAAGCTGAAGGGCTCTTTTGACTGGTAAGAAAGATGCAGTAGCTATGTCTTCTGTATGTAGCTCTCTCACTGGTGTTGAGGGCACAGTGTGGCTATCTATACATGCAAGTGTTTCAGCTTTGTTTGTTTGCTATTTCTTTGTTCTTTTAAGGAGGGAAGTACATGATGCATCTACAGCTGCAAAAGGAATGAGGGCTGTGAACAGCTGCTGGGGGGTGTCTGAAAAAAGCCAACTCTGGTTGCAGGGCTTTGGTGGTAGGGCTGTGGTGTCCTGAATTAAGAGGAGTGTTGAGGGCAAAGTTTTTTACCTTCCCTGAAGTGCAAGGCCAAAAGCTCTTACTTGGCTCTTGTGTTTTTTGGTCTGGCTCAAGCTGGGCAGAGAGTAGAGCTTAGAGAACTTCAAGGCACAAGCTTTTATCTTGCCCAGCACCCTGTGCCAAAAGGTTCCATGCTTTAAGAGCCTTCTTTCATCTACTATGAACCTGTGACCTGAACTTTTTGTTTGCACAGCAATTAATGCCTAGCCTCCATGGGCTTCTGCTTAGTGCCAGCCCAGACACACAATGCCAAGTGGGGGACTGGGAGATTAAAATTGTGTAAACCCCTTTGAGGCTCTAAGCCTTTGTCTTTAGTATGTATTGTTAAGGGCTAAACATCTTTAAGTCACCATTACAAGTAAGAGAGCACAAAATAGTTTTTGAATAGTGGAGATTGCTTCTGTGTGCTCCAAGGCCAGCAGCTTCTGAGTGCACTGGTTCCTGCAGTCCTGTAACTTTGCCAGAGACTTGGGACAAGCAGTGTTGATAGCTGGGATTTAGAAAACAAAATCATGATTAGAGTTTATCTGCTTTGAGAGAGAAAAATCTTTAATTGCTTGAACAGCTTATTTTTAATACAAACCCCCAGCATAAAGCTGTAAAAAGCAAGATGTCAGCAGTAATGCAGAAAATACTGTAATGCCTATTCAGTGAGCTCTGCATTAGTTTGTATCTTATGCTCTTTGAAGATATCCATCAGAAGGATAGAAGGATGTAGATAATCATCTAATAGTTCATTCTAAAACAAATTTTAGTGCACTGTTGTATTTTGAGTTTCTTGCTGTTAACTCTGGAAGTAAAAATACTCTAATACAAGAAAACAATTTCTTATTCTAGCTGTTACAGAACTTCAACAGAGATGTAGGGCTTGGGGTGACTGAAGGGTTTCACGCTGATGTAGGAGGTCTCTGCAGTGGTTTAGAGAAAATGTAAAGCTTATTGGGTTTTCAGTTACTTTTACTACAGCCTGTGTTTACTAGCAAAGCAAAAGGCCTTGAAAACTTTAGCTGAGGTTAGAAATAGCAATAGTAAAATCTTGGGAAACCATACTATGGGAGTTCAGTTGCCACGAGGAAGTATTTTACTGATCTTTGTAGGAACTGGTTGCATGCAACGTTTTCAATGGTTGGTATGGGTCTTTGACTATTGGTTGCTGATGTTTATTCATTTTCAATCCAGGAGTGTCCTTTCTTTCTCTTGTTCTAAATCATCTTAATAAAAAAAAGGCTTTCTGTGGTTAACAGCTCCTTGTGAACTCTATATTTTATAGGGTCTCTCAAGATTTAGATATCCCCATTTCTACAGTTGCATTCTTTGTTCCAGTTTTCTGTCTTTTGATGTCAAAACATGGATACCCTCCCAACCCCTCCTGTGTTTTTTATTAAGAATTTATAACTGAAGGATTGCCCATGTTTATTAGCTTGGAATTTGCTTGTTTCCATCATAAATTTTGTTTCTGTTCACAAGAACAATCGCAGGGTAATTGAAAGGGAAGGATTTTTAAGATAAGTCTTTGAAATCTCTATTTTTTTTAGTTTGTGCAGATGAGCTGCTGTCATCCCTGGGAATGGATGGAAGCAAAAGAATTAAATTGCCCTTTTTCTCACGTGTCTCTTTCAGTGATCCTCTAAGTCATTTAAGTCCTTTATGTCTGATCTCTAATGTCACAAAGACCCCTTAGATTAAAGAAGATCTGTATGGAACAGCCTTTCCCAGCTGTGCCTGCAGCCAGTTGACCCCTTTGGAGGATGTGTGATTGCAGCAGTGTATCTGGCATGCTGGGAAGCACTGGATTTACACTGTGTGTACAGCAAGACTGATGTGTGAGGACACCCTGTGCCTCCTGCAGGTGCTGCGCATGGCTATGGGGGAGACCAGGATTCCCTGGAAAGATGAGTACCAGGACTAAGCTGCAGTGAATTGTCCTGGTTAACCATGTTTGCATCTGAACCTTCCCAGTATGGATCAATTTCTAAATTGAGTTTTGGTGCAAGAGGTGAGAAGACAATGGAAGGAGAACATGGAGAAGGTTGTGTAGAAGTGAAATAGGCTTGCATGAAAGCAATTGCTCCAAGTAAAAAAAACAAGAGGGAAAAAAATTGCCTGGAACTGTGTTGCCCAGAGTGGTCCTGAGCAGCAGCAGTGTGTCAGGATGCACTGATTCTGACACTGAGATCCTCACCTCTATGAAAGGCTGACTTCTGGCCAGGTTTTTCTGACAGAGTCAGGACCGTAAATGACTCATGACAAAGGATTTCAACAGTGCTGGGGGGCAGGAAGGAGGCAAGCTGGACAACAAATAATGTCAGTACCTTTGTTTCCTCTACACATCAAAAACTAGATTCCTGGATGTTTCAGCAGGTATTGGGTCAGGGACTTGTAGGGCCTTGGTTCATTATCACTGCCTCTGCTGTATCTATCTGAATTTTCTTTCAAGGGCTCATTGATCGGGTTTTTCAGCTGCTGCTTTTGATATTACTGTTATGACTTCTTAAGATGTGAGGGATGGGGAAAAATGAGCAGTTCAAACCAGTCAATTTGCCTCATAGTGTGATATCTGGGAGTCTTTTTCCTTTTGTACTTCTTAATACTTAAATGAGTGTTCGTGAAGCAGAAGAAAATAGGGACAAGCCTTTTTTTCAGTATAGTGGATGTGGGAAAGAAGGGAGATTAGTAAAAATTTTGATAATGCTAGATATTTCTTTTTCTGCTACTGTCAGAAACATGCTATTTTCCCCATGAGTAAGCTGTGACATTCCTCTGTGACTCAGTTTCCCTCCCTCAAGCTCTCTTGTTTCCTCTGGATGATGAGCACTTCGGGACTGTTGTGGTTGCAGGATGTGTGTCTGTGGATTGTAGCCAAGAACAAAAAATACCAGTCACAGATGGAGGGTCCCAAAAGCTGTAGAACATCCTGAAGCACTTGATGCTTCAGTTTCTAATAGTGGCAGTGATAGGAATGCCAGTTCAGTCACTGGACACGGGCAGTGTAGCTGACTCCACAGCAATGCAGAACACCTGGTGAATGTGGAACACTTCCCATCTGTTGCTGTCCAAGTCTGTATTGTGGTTTGTGAACACTTGGTGAAAGACTGCAAAACGCTAACACATTCCAGTCTCTAGTCTTCCAGTAGCACCTGCTGTTTTGGGAGGACGTTTTTCTGACACAGACTTGAGAAGCAGGCGTACGGGGCAGGTGGTTGTTGTGCTGTCTGTCAGTGATGCTTCTGCACCTCTCTCCTGAGTGTAAAGAATTCTCTCTGGGACAGCAAACAGTCTGTGTTGTCTTTCTTTTGTCTTTGTGTGTGGTTGGAGCATAAGCTGAAGTG